CTGTCACTGAATATGGGATGGGCAAGGCTTTCCCGTCCATACAGATAAACTGCTCGGGTCGCATATATACATGTAAATCCTTTGCTCAAATCAAAGCAACTGAAACTTACCAAGGCAAATTTGAAGAGTCTACATTCTGTTCGTACAGCCTCAGTGCGAGCTGCGTCGTGGCCGCTGCATGGTTACCTCTCATATCCGCCGACGTCGGCCCGTCGACCTCATTTCTCTGCTGTGTATGTGCTCCAACGTTTCAAAGTTACGCAGATACCAATAGTACAAAACAGACAAGCGCTCAGAATTGGCGAATACTGTTGGTTTAGACGTTATCGTTGTTACTTTATGAGATCTCTATTTCATTCATAGTCCCATAACCACAACAAAACTACCCAAGGCAGCTTACCTAGTTGCCTTGCCTCACCCGGCTGAACAATAAATAGCTGGTACTAGATTATGTATTTGTCTTTAGCTAAAGGATTCTCAATTTGGAAGGAGTGCTTTCTCGGTTGTTCCTGGACAACTCCTCTGAGACTCGCGACACGGCCGGCCCCGAAGTAGGTATATTGATCATCACGGTCTGTGAAAGAATCTGCAACGGCATCTAGGTCCAATAAAGTCAAGCCGGCACAGATGGGTTGTCATCGGATATTCCAGCTCAACGACTTCGATATGTCCCCCAACTCAGTGTGGGTGTCCGTTGTATATTTGCCATGTTTTTGGGAGAGCAGGCGGTCTTTAGATAGTTATAAAAGTGTAGCCGACTATTTCGTTCGAACAAACTAGGTCGACTTGACTTTCACGCAATCCATCGACACACGCAAAGACCTTATTACCCTTCTCTTACGCAACGACAGCAACGCCATTACCGACAAAGAGTAACGAGCCACAAGCCTCACAACGGCACGCAACTTGAACACTCTTTCCGAGCTTTTCCCAGCTTCCGGCTTGGGCGATCATCCGGTCGACGGCAGCGTCCCAGTCACTGGCAACGCTGAGATGGACGGCAGGATCCTGACCGCTCTCACCACCGCCCTCTCGAACAACAACAGATCGGAGGCAATCCACCTATTCACCGAGGTTGCGCGAGCCATGCACGAGAGACTCTATATTCTCGAACGCGACCCTTCGGCACAGGATGAATTCTGGCAGTCAGTCTGCGACGCTGGAGGCATGCGCTGGGCGGCAGATCTGGGCCCTGAAGTCATCCGACAGCTCATGACCACCTTTCTCCAAAGGCGCCTGACTTCGGGAGATAGGAGGCTCAGTGAACTCACCCACGTTCTCGACAGCCTCAACGATTGGCTGAACCCGAGACGTTTCCTAATGATTCCACTCATCTACGAAGACGCCGGCCTGGCTGCCACTCTACTCCCAGCTCCAGGTCAGCCGGGCCCTGCTGACGAGCCCGAAGCCCAAGGTGACTGGCAGGAGAAGCCGGCTAACAACAACCAGGGCGGCATCGACCTTTCCTATGGCCCTCGTATCTACGACGCCTATCCAGATGCTGTAGAAGGCCACTTCTACCTTGTGCCCTCCCCGGTGACTGAGATCGCCAACGACAACCATCCCGGGGCCGGAGCTGAAATCGACTTTGACATTCTGCCTCCCCCAGCGATGGAAGTCGCCAGCGACAACATGCAGGCCGCACACAACACGCATGCCGCATCGGTGCGCAACTTGTTCCTCCCAACCCTGTTGCCCGACGACTACCGCAGCCCATCGGCCTTCCTCCCGAACGAGGAGGGCATGCGGGAGGGGGAGGGGGACATTGGTCAGGCTGCCCTCACTGACGCCGACCAGGTCCTAGCTCGCCCCGAGGAGTGGATGCCACACGAGCCCTGCCTTCAAACACTCAACGACCGTGGCCCGGTGGAGGATCTCTGGCTCTTCCTCGACCCTCGCCTCGCGGAGGATGAGGATGATCTTGTTTGAGAACCCCGAGGTTTCAAGGTGAGTAAACCCCCTTCATAGGTGATGCTGATATTGAGGAAGAGGGCCCTAGGTGGTCTTGGAAAGAAGGTGAACAAAAAGTAAAATAGTTACTAGAAAAAAGAAAGAAAAAGAAAAAAAGAATTCGCTTCAACTTTAATCTCCCCTCTTGCTAACAAAGTGATGATGACCTGCAATGTTGACTAATGATCTCAATATTTGAATGCGGATATCGAGGAAATCCTCATAAGTTAACACCCGTATGTACATATCTCCAGTAGTACCTACATAGGTAGGTAATATAGAATCCGATATGCAAAAGAACAAGCCCCTCTAAAACCCTCGAGTCTGGCAACTACTAAAGTATATATAGGGTAGCAATAATTAACTAGACAGTCCGCCAATACCATGTCCTGGCGGCATGAAACAGCAAACCAAAAGCCCAAACGCCAAGCAGAACAAACGCTTGTTGAGGTGCAAACAAAGCGCCTCTAACGACAACAAAGCCGCTCACTAGCGCAAATGTGACGGGAATCAAGATGAAGGGCTTGTACGGCCTACGCAAGGCAGGCTCGCGGAACCGCAGGAAAATCGCGCCTACAACAACGAGATGGAAAAAGGTATACTCTCCCAATCCATTGAAGGTTAGGAGAGCGCGGAAGTTGCCCAGCAGGATGTAAAGTGCCGAAAGAACTGCTGAGAGAATTATGGCGTTGACAGGGGCGTCGGATTGTGTTTCCTTTGAGGAATCTGGCGACTCGGCTGGCGATTCTTCGCCATTGCTGCTCTGGCTGGTTTCAAAGCCCACGCGTCCCACAACGCAGAAAATACTGGGGAACCAGTTCATATTGGCGGCTGCGACCGCCATACGCCCTGCAACGAACGAATTTCCTAGCAGGGAGCCCGCAACAACCATGCAGATGAGAAAGGCAGGAAATATCGCGGCCGCGGGTCCGAGGAGACGAGTGATGGCAGTCTGTACATACTGTTGGATATCGGTGAAATAGGGAAATAAAGACGGAGAACTTACTACGACAACACTGTCAGTGGCTGAGACAAGGTTCCAAGGGAGAAGAACATAATAGGATGCATTGGCGACGAGAAAGCAGATGATGATAGTCGGAATCGAAGTGTTGATTGCCAGTGGCAGTTGGCGTGCAGGCTGTGAAAGCTCGGCCGAAATGTAGACGGCCTAGTAGGAGAGGTGCTGTTAGTACAGGCGGAATGTCTCATTTGATTCAAAACACCCACCTTGTCCCATCCCGAGTATGCCCACAAGGCACCGTAAAGTGCTGCCGAAAGATGCCCCAACGTCTCCCACTCACCCAGTCCCTCCCAATGAGTAATGCTGCCGTCGGCATTGACACTATCTCTGTATCCGAACCACGGCTTCTGATACCAATCTAGGCCCTTGTTTATCTTCCAAGAGTCTTTTGGGTCCACAACATGGATCAGCACAACCAATGAAGCGGCCAATACAACGGCGGCAATGGTAAAGAACTTGATGACAACAAAGAAATTGTTCAGCCTCGTGCTGGCCTTTGTGCTGATTGAGTTTGCCACGCTGACCAATGCAAGAATCACAACAGACCACAACTTGTGGTCTAGCTTGTGGCCCTCTCCAACAACGCCCGCGGCCGAGTAAATCGTCTCGACAAAGACAATGCTCAAAATAGCCAAGGTCGCCGGCATCACAGCCACAACCCAGGTCCAGGCGGCAAGGAATCCAAAAGTGTCTCCAAAGATGTACTTGAGGTACGGCTGTATGCCCCCCTCGCCAGGAATTGCCGTCCCCAGCTCGGCTAAGGTACTCGCACCGGTCCAGGCCAGCACGCCGCCGACCAGCCATACCACTAGGGCAACACCCGGCGACGGCACATTGGCGTCAATGGACCCCGGCGATGTAAACACGCCGCTCCCAATCACGATGCTGATGACGATGGCGAAGGCCTCGACGGCGCCGAGGTTGCGCGTGAAGGTGCCGGGGGTAGCACGCTCCTGGTCGTTTGTGCCGCCATTCTGGTTGCCGTCGCTGGCTATAGCGGTGGTATTGCCATCGACATCTGCGTAGCGCGGTTGGCTGCTGCCGCCCAGGAGGGGTTGTTGTTCATTTGCATTGTGAGTCAGGGTCGTCCCTTGGGTGCCTGAATCAGGGGCCATTTTCGCTTCTTTCCGGAGCCCAAGTGCTGGCGGTGTTGAACTGATGATGTCGCTTCGCTGGTGGAGCGAGACGCATTTGAGGTCTGGACTCTGATGTCGTGGTCGAGAAGGGACGGCGGGAGAGCGATGTGTATGCCTGAATCGTGAGTCGTGACCGCTTACCAATTGGAAAGAAAACAGCTCCACCTCAAATCGATGGGATGGGACGGGATGGGCTACGCTAGCGGGCTCGGCTCCCCGCGTTACGATCCCTGTTCTCATTGTTCCCGTGCGAGCACGCGACTTTTTTTTTTTTTTTTTTTTTTTATCGAGGGAACGTTGGCGGCTGAAACCTGGGCGCATGACGAATCGACCCTGCAGTGCAGACACCTTGATAGCGCTCGGCACTAGCCTACAGCGCGGGGCGATTGAGTGTGAAAGACCTTCAAGACCTTCAAGACTTTCAACCCTCATTCTTGAGCAAATTCAAGAAACTGAGATTACTAGCGTAATTGCTGTCGCGATGTGTCGTATGCTTTTCACACCGCTTTTTCTCCTCAGCTGGCTAGAAACTTGGGAGATTGGAGACGCCTTGAAGCATTTCACTAATAGGGGCTAGCTTGACGTCGCACGTTCACGGTAGGAGGGCATGAGTCAGGAAGTGTAAATGTCACCAGCGATAACGTATATATATATATATATATATGCAATTGGAGAATCGTCTTACTAAAAATCGTCATTTCCTTTCTCAGCCTTAATCTGCATGTTTTGGATCGACGGAGTGACGTTGAAGGTCATGGTGCTTCTGTTTATGCATTTAAAAGGGGCACCGCCAAATTCTCAACAACAGCGCGCTCTTACTAGAAACGATACTTAAAAGGGAAAATGCACTAAGTAAAAAGTTGAGGCCACTCATAGCGTCGATCTTGACAGGTCGCCAACGGCGAGACTCGAACTCGCAACATTCAGATTAAAAGTCTGACGCGCTAACCAATTGCGCCACGCCGGCTGTGTCGATCGATGCTTATGAGATTCCAAAATCTAGTTCATCATGTGGGTGGAGGTACGGGTGTGCGGGTTCGAGTTGAGTTTTGAGCAAGTGAAACCGCAAAAGAGCGAGAGACAAGAAAGCTGGGATGAGGCCACATCGTGGGTCGGGATCCACCGACGGCAACTCGGTACGAGGCTCGGGAGTGGAGAAGCGAAGCAAGCGTCAGGTGTCGGTCAAAGGGTTCATCAGTCACCAACTTTTTTACTGTTACCCCTAAACATGACCCTGAATACGACAGCCTCGAACCCCAAACCCGGACGATCCAGACCGGAGGCGCGCAGGGTGGCGACAGCAGGTGGGGCCCACCGTGCAGTCCGATCGGACTCATGGGCACCAGAAAATCGATGCGAGAAGATCATGCCCCCAAGGCCGGTTATGCCCGGCCAAGGTCGAGGGCCACTTCCAAGCCACCTGTGTACGACGAACTTTACTTTATGCTTGAAACACGCCGTGCGCTCCAGCCGTCCACTAACAACTGGTCCCCGGCCCAAAACCCATGGCAACCTTGCCGCAACCACTGACGTCAGTGTCAGGCACACAAACATTACCGCCTCCCAACAACCCTCCATCCAACTCAGCCGCACCTCGACAGGCAGTCGGTGGCAACGTCAGCTGCACTATACTCCATGCCGAATCCCAGCCACAGCCACCCGCAAGAGTCGAGACAACCGAGACACCGTGAAGAGCATTGTCCATGTCAATCACGAAAGTTCTGTGGATTAATTTGCTTCTTTGCTGATTTCCCCTTCCAACCGACCGCCTATTTACACAAACTTAGTCAATAGCAATTCTCATGCGCAACTCTTTTCTTGTTTCCGCCGCCTCTCTCCAGAGAATTTCTCCAGAGAAAACCAAATACCAGTGTTCCGCTCTCAAACTCCTGTAGTGATAATGCATTTCCATTTCCAGTCCGTTCCGATACAGTCCCGTAGCCAAGGGTTCGCAAACGTGCACTAGTTAGCTGTCGTTCCGTTTGCCCTGGTCGTGACAGTGAGTATCCCCTAGTATAATATGTATTTTGACCCAACACCCGTCCCCGGAAACAAGTCGCCCAACCGTGGTATAAAGCTTCCTAGCCGGTGTAAAAGCAACTCAATGAACTCCACATGCCGTAATGCCCAACCAACCCAATGTAACAGCAAAAATGTTTTGATACTCACCCATGAAGTCATTCCACACCATAGATGCGTTAGAACATTGACTGTCCAGTACACACGTATGGCAAATCGGGGATTGGGCGGGATCTGAGTTGTTGTCGGCGGTGCAGATGGCGATGATCTCGTCGAAACTAGCAAGCTGAAGTGGCCATATACGAGTCACGCGAAGGTTTCGGTCGTGGTTCAACAGTTTCGTCGCCCTAACGTCCCCCGCAACACCCATGATCCCTCCAATAGGTCTCAAGACCGGATGGTGGCTTGATGTCTCAAGCTCGATAGACTTTCTACGAAGCCGATCTCTAGCCGGGCTGTTTTTTCTCCACCCCAATCCTCGATGCCCAACCGCGGTGCCGGGTGTCATTTCTTCGCTTTGCTGCTGGATGCCGTGATTTTGCTGGTTGTCATGAGGTCCCCAATATACTTTTGCAGGAATTTGTTGTTGTTGTCGAGCTTGTCGTGCTCTTCCTTGACAGCTTCGATGCGGTTGAAGAGGCTGATGAGCGAGTCTTGGAGTGCCTTGGCGTGCCTGTAGGGGATAGTCAGCATAAGATTCTGTTGGCGGTGTAGGTTTGGAGTGTCCGAACAAACGTACCTTTGTAGCTCCTCCCTCGCTTCCTTGCCGAGCATTTCGATGTCTTCGCTCGTTCTCCTCGGGCTCATGGACCTCACGTCGTCGGGCCCAACCTTCATCTCGATAGGCCCGACATCTACGGAGTCGCGCGGGACAATCATGGTCCCGCTACTTTTGCGACTCGGCAGACGCGGCCGTATAGGGGCTGGCGCATGCACGGGGGGGCCGGCCGACGACGCACCGGACGACGAGTCCGACCACTCCAATGCTGCTCCGCTTGGGCTAGGATCATCCATTATGTATTAAAGTGTTTCTGGTAGTCGGCGGGTCCTGAATCGACGCGACGACGGCACGAATCCGGTGATGTAAAGTAAAAAATACAGGCAATGCCGTGAATGTTATGAACAAAGCAAACCAACTCCTCCGTCTCCTCAGCGCAGCAGGTTTGGAATTGCCACCATTCGCTAATCTGCGTGGCGCACGACAAGGCGACTCAGAGGATTTGGGTGAACGTGGAAAGGCGCGGATGGTGGGTAGAGAAAAGGGTATGGGCTGTCGGTGTTTGGAGGCGAGGGGAGGGCCGCGGCGTGAGTGTTTAGGCGAATCCGAGGTGGGGGTGGTCGAAGAGGAAGTCGCGGCGGCAGCAAGGTCAAAAAACCAAGACGTCAGTTGCCAATAGGCAAAACTCGGCTCTCCGAAGGGTGGTGCGGAATCAGTTATGAAGGCTTGTTGCCCCGGAAGAAAATACAATAGCAGAATGGAACAGGCGGGATTATCCAGTTATTGTTATTGGGCCTGCGAATGCGCTGGTGAGGACAGGAGGGATGTGGAGCAGCGAGGCCTGGTCAGGAGGATATTCCGTGGCCTGTTTCCCTGCCGCGATCAGCAACCTATGCCTTGCTGGTTTGGACGTCGAGTGGCCGTGGAGTGGGCAGGAGCGGTTGCGAGGGGCCTGCTAGGTCGGTGTGTAGGTGGTCACAGGAATGCAGGGTCGGGGCCTGTTTTGAGAGGCTGTCTGAGGAAAGGGAGCTGTCGATCTGGGAGGGGACGGGGACGGAAGCGACGGGAAGGGTTGCGTTGCCAGCAGCCTTAACTACCAGGAGGTCGCAGCGGCGTAAAAATAAGGTAGCTCGGCGCTCTAGCTATTTATTGCTTGAGCGTGATGCACTGGAACGAGGTATCGTGAGACGGCAATGGCGAGGTGGCGCGGCGTGAGTCGAACAGGAAATGGAGGGCGATTGTCGCGTGGTACGGCGATGGGGCAGAGTGCAGAGGTACAGAATGCGTCAGTCCCCAGTTCCCAGGTGCTTCCCGCCCGTCTCTCTGTTTTCTCGGCTGGATGCATGCAGAGGCCACGGGCCACGGTCGGGCACCACTTAGGTCGTCGGGTTCAAGTGCTGAGGCGCTGAGTGTGCCTCAGGCTGTATCAGGCGGTAGGGCAGATACGGTAGTGCACCTAACCCTGCCATCAAATCCGTGCCTTCTACCCTCTGCTTGACGAAGGGTGGTCAGACCAGATTGCGGCCAAAGTGTTGATCGACAGTAGTGACGCCACAGGCCGGGTTGACCATTGGCTCGTTGCAACACTATCCCCACCGACTCCAAAGGGGTCAGCAGGGGTCTGCATCTTGTCTCTGGATGATGAAATGGCTGCATCTGCGAAAATCCCATCCACGACACCCACACCAAACCGCACCATTCCTTGGTCCTCCACCTGCGCTGCATCGAATGCCAAAACTCTCATGGGTCTCCCACGACGCAAGAAGCAAAATACGCTATGTCGCCTGCAGATTCTGCAGCTTCTCTGGCTGGCGTACCCACCCACTATCTGCACAATATCTCCCTATCATAGCGTCGCTCGTTGCCAGCGATTTAGCTTTAGACTTTTAAATGACAGGCGCCGCCGACATGCTCGCGCCTCCCAGTTTCCCCCCCGTGTCGCGACCACCGATCATCGACAAGCGCTGCAAAGAAGACCCGCGCGCTCGGATTTCTGTGGTACCGCTGACGACTGCGATGACTGAGACGAATTGGTGGACCTCAGCCTCCATCCAACATACCTCTGAACGCTTCTTAGCAAATCTCTTAACACAGCAAGCACAACCTCAGTCCAGTCCGAGTAGCTTTGCCAGCCACGCTAGCATCCCCCCTACGGGCAGCGGCAGAAGAGTTACGATACGTTCGGAAGCCCCAATCACCCCAGCCGTCGCTCACAACCCTGCAACTTCACCTCCAGGTAACCTTGCAAGAAATGTCGAACCCCTCGTGCCCCTCTGCCGTGGGATCTTGGTCTTCCTTGTTTTGGGAACCCGTAGGCCAACCAGCAACCCCCACCCCCCACCAAATGCCATCGGTCAGACACCGCTAGGCACTGGCCGACACAATTGGGACAGCCTCTCGATTCCACCTCGCTTCTTTTGTTCGACGCTTTCTTCGCCAACGGGAGACATGCATAGGCCGCGCATGTAACACGACAGCCCCAGATACGGGGAAAACGCTGTGGCTACGGGATGGAGCGCCATCTTCGGCACTCGTCTTCGACCTACCTTTCTGCCATCGAATACCAGTGTACACTACATACGCGACCTCGACGAGTGGGATATCTAACACACCGATGGCCCGCCGCGCCGGGGTCTGCCGAGCGCCAATTATGTCATGATCGGCGGGTGTACAAAAATGCATCTGGGCATTGTTCTCACCGTGCGAGTGCTTTTCACCCCCGCATTCACCTTGCCCGACCTCTTTTCGCGAGCAGGTAGTTGGCAGGGCTTTCGTAGAGACGGCGCAAAGACGGCGCAACCACCGAATCTCTTCTGTCCCATGAATTGACAGGTCGGGCGGCCTGGTGTCATCTCAACACTCAAAGTATTGATACAAGCATCGTCGGGCAGGCATTGGTCCAGAGACCCTACTTTGGTTCGTGCAAAGATGCGTTGGTTTAGTGTCGGCACAGCGATTTGGGAGCCGCAAGTCCCGCCTCGGTTTGCATGAGTAATTTGGCTATCGCTACGGCCAACGCCGCCAACCCGATGCGTGCGATGTGCGCTAGGCAGGGCAAACTTGCCAACAACGACAAGACAGCGCAATCCCGCGCCAACTAACCCTTGGAACAGACAACGCAGCCACAGATATCCATCCAGCAGGTCAACTTCATACTTACACCAAGCATTCATTGTAGGCTGGATTCTGTTTCGGGTCCAAGATCACAAGCAGAATCCCTACGTGGAGAG